TGAGGCCCCAGTCTCCTGTCTTTTCACAGGTTGGTCTTGCATACAAGTGATAGCTACTTCGTAATCATACACTAACTGCCCCAGTGACTCCCTCCCTAAATCACTTTGGGGCATGAAGAATAGTGACTCCCCTCCTCACCTGTTTTCTATTTAGGGATGAAAATCCTCCCTGGGCAGTGTCCAACAGAGAACCTTTCCTTATCGTTCAGACCATGATATGTTCTTTCTACAAAGGCCAGACTCTAGAAATATCTCTGCTCTGTGTGCGTGCGTGCGTGCGTGCGTGTGTGTGTGTGTGTGTGTGTGTGTGTGTGTGTAAAACCGTTCTTACTTTGCAGGCATAACTTATCACCCATATCTCCTGTCCTCTCTTGGAACCCTTGTCACGCATGCATCTCTCATTCTGTATCCTCCTCCAGCAAAGATAGGCTTAGTGAACTTTGTAGTCACGAGCAACAAGTCACCTCCCGATCTAGCTAGCAGGAGAGCCGACCACACTCTTTGAGCTTCCCCTGGCGTAAGGCCCAGTCCCAGACCGCACACTTGCAGTCTGCGAGCCACTTTCTTCCAAACGGGCTGTGAGCGCCCTCTAGCGCTTAGAAGGTGAATGCCAGACTGGACCCACGAGCTGCAAACCTAGGCCAGCAAAGGAACAGAAGGAATATGACAAGGGAAGGGGCAGTGGTGAAGCGTCAGAAACAAGGGCTCTGTTTGGATAGAAGATGTAGAAGATGATGTCTCCTCAGTGCAAGGGACATCCACCTGCTTCTGGTCTCAGGTTTGCTTTCAGAGAGCGGTGGAGACATAGTAGTCACCAACGCGCCCCCTCCTGGTCACGCTGCCCCACAGCAAGGCTACCTTCCACAGCACAGAGCCAAACATGTTTTATGCCAAATCTTTAGTTGTTGTTCGTGGTTTTCTGTTTGTTTCTTTTTTTTTTTTTTAACTAGGAGAAAAGTGAGGTGTTGTGTGAATTTAGCCAATGTCAGGTCTGCTGATGAGCACGTGACACTCTGGGGACCGAGTCACGTGATCATAACGGCTACTCTCAGAGAGCTTACTCCACTTTGAGGATATACTACCTCGGAGATCAGAGTACACCCACCCCTCAGCCACCATGGATGAGTGTTGAAAACCTCCTGTGGTAGCTTTGTCCAACTTCTTCCTTACTCTCCTTTCTTTTAGATTTTTTAATATAAAACATCTCATGCATATAAAGAAAAAAGTACCAAGGGAAACGCAGTGGATGCCTCTGTCTGATCTCCTTAAGAGTGAAAATATTTGAGGCACGCATGTACATGACACCTGATCTCCATCCAGCACCATCTCTGCCCACTGCACTGAACTTGGTGTTCTGTCCCAATGTGTAACTTCCACCTGCACGGTGTCTCCCAAAGCATTCAGGGCTCTCCTGTCTGTTTCTAAGCAACTTATTGATGGTTTGATGCTGTCTATACTTCTGTTCTAAGCAACTTTTCCTTGAACATTGAGAATGGTCCACATTGAAAGACAGAGTTCTGGGTCATCCCCTTTCATTTCTGTGGGTACTCCGCTGTGGAAGCAGTCCATACTGTATCCACGCTCCTGACAAACATCCCAGATGCTCTCCACTTACACCTGGCAACCCTGAGCCTGTCTTAGGAGTCCCTTGTGGGACTGCATAAGGGTATTCTGGGTCATGGCTGGGCAGTTGCCTAGAACGCCGAGACTCTGCGTGAGAACTGGCAGGAGTTCGTCGTGCCCCAAGAACCCAGGGTCTTGAAAAACAGTCTAGTCTCCTTAAAACTCAGTCATGTAGGCCAGCAATTACAGCCCCTGCCAAAGTGCACAGGTAGAGGGCGTGACTAGAGGCCTCAGGCCCTAGGGATTTACATACTAATGAAGGCCAGAGGGCGGAGCAAATTAAACATTCCTCCCCCAGATCCTCCCCCAATCCTCCCCCTTTCTCCCTCCCTATATAACTCGGGACTGCCTTGAGTTTTACGGGGGTATGCCCAGATCCATCAACCATCCGCCATGACAATAAACCTTTTGGAACCAAGGACTTCCTCGTGTCATTGGGGCCTGCCTCCGCCAAAGCCTCCAGGCCGCTGGAACCATAGACCTCCTCCCGCATGTGGGACCAGCCTCAGCGTGGAAGCCTCCCCGGACTCCCCACCGCTGCGGCCCTCTAATTTTCCCCACAGCCCCTAGAGGTCTGGACATGCTCAGTCTTAGGAAATGTGCACCTCCATCCTTACCCAGTATTGTGAGTCACTCTAACAGATTGGCTTCTACCAGTTCATCTCTCATCCACACCCAATATGGGTCCACTTTATTTCACACTGCTTTGACTTGGACATACATATGGTATTCCTCAAGGATGTGTGTGTTGGAGACTCTGTTCTCCTTGTGGTGATGATGAGAGATGTAGGACCTTCTGAAGTAGAGACGAGTGGGAGGTGGTTGCATCACTGAGGGTGTAGCCTCAGTGGGATCAAAGTGGTTCTTACAAGACAAAGAGTTAATCTCCATCAGAGAGAATCCTTGACTTTCCCTTTTCTCAGACTCCCTGTCTTGTCCTGACTCCTCTCTCTTTCACTTGGTCCAGCTACAATACCATGCTCCAGGGCCTTCACCAGATGGAAGCAGAGCCCACCCATGTCAATTGGACTTTAAACCTCCAAAAGTGTGAAATAAACGTCTTTTCTCAATAAATACCCAGACTTGGCCGTTGTGCCATACGTACATGAAAACAGACAAAAGTGTCTTGCCAATCATATGTGTGGGAAATTCATTCAGCTCTGCCTTAATTTGTGTGTCCTTCGTGATAGCACCAGGAGCCTAAAGCTTCGATATTGTTCACCTTAGTTTTTCCCCTGAAAACTGTCTCAGCATGAAGAAAATAGCTCTTTCCTTAGCCTTAGCCAAAGGTAAGACAAAGTTTGGTGAGAACCACTGTCGATCCTGCAGTTTGGGCAAGGAGGGTCTGCCTGTAAGGGCTGCCCCCTGAAAGACTCTGAACCCAGTGAAGCTGTGCTGACAAGGCCACGCTCTAACAGGCTCGCTCAGTTACAACCCAGTCAGTCAGGTCCAAAGTTATGGCTCCCTCCCGCTTCTTGGCAGAAGCCTAAACCCAGAAGCTGAGGCCTCCGGGATGCTGAAGAGGAGTGAAGTTCACGACAACCAAAACTCAGAAATGCAATCTCCTGCCACGATAAAACAGGACTCTTCAGAGAGTCCAAAACCTCAGAAATAAAGGTGCTCTCCATGGTGCAGCTTCAGATAGCAACAACAAAAGAAAGTTCCTGAATGTTCCAGAATGTCCTAAGTCACAAATGACCAAATAGAATGGTATAAATATCTCCTAGAAATGGTCTCCAAAGTCACTCATAACTATTCCAATACCATGAGAAGACAGCCATAATGGAGCCTCAGCAGTGCTGAATTACTACAATCCTAAAAGATGCTTCTGCAGGGGAGGGGTTGCTGAGGTCCTGATGAAATGGTAGGCCCAGCCACTCCCGACACACGGCATGTGGACTTGCAGCCAGGAGGGCAGGGGTCACTGTGAAGTCCCAAGGTGATTCCAATGCAGGCTAAAGGGTAAGAACCGGGAACCTGGAGATTAGGAAACTGCCGAGAGGCATGTAGAGTTAAAGTTACATCCAAGTTCAGCGCATGTAAGAATGACCTTGCTTTGTGGGGTGTGTGCCTGATTGTGTGTGTGTATGCATGTGTGTGTGTGTGTGTGTGTGTGTGTGTGCGTGTGTGTGTTTATGATGTCTGTGTGTGTTTACTGGTAGCTGCCTAGGAACTTCAAATTAATGGCCATTGTGCCTGGATCATTGTATCTCAATCTCAGGACTACTCCTGTTTGAGACCAAAAGGTTGTTTAGAGTTGGGCTGTCCTCTGTATTGTAGGACGCTCAGGAGTGTCCCTGGTCACTACCACAGGTGACAGCAGCTCCCACAGTGTGAGCAGCTAAACATGCCTGTAGACATCACCACGTGTTCTCTGCGGGCCAAGACCTCAGTCTGAGAAGCAGTGCTCTACAAGGAAAGTAATCTAAACGTCTTTTGTTTTTAGAATTTATGCCTATTCTTAAGGCTTTCTTCCCCTAAAACAGATATAAAATATTTTGCGCACACACACACACACGAAAAAAATTTCCATTGCCTGCCAAAAAACAACCCACTTGGATATAGCTGTAGTTACACAAGTAGTTACAGTATGCTCAACTTATTACAGTTTCGAAATAGTTATGAAAAATCACCTACAAAGACTTACTCTGGTGTCAGTATTCCTTAGGAGACTTTAAAATGTTTATAAGCTTTGAGTGTGGTTTCCTGATGTCACATACATGAATATCCGATAGTATCCATAGGGAAGTGGTCCCAGGAACCCATGTGGATATCACAACCCATGGATGGAAGTGGTCGCAGGGACCCATGTGGATATCAGAACCCATGGATGGAAGTGGTCCCAGGGACCCATATGGATACCAGAACCCATGGATGCTCAAGTCCCTTAGCAACAGGGTAGTAGATGTGCATATAGAATGTGCATCTCCTTCTGTGGGCTTCAGGTCTTCCCTAGGTCATTTAGAATATCTAATAAGGGCCTGGAGTATGGATCACTCAGGTGGTGCATAGGCCCAGGGTTCAGTTCACCACAACTGCATAAAACCAGGCATGGAAGTACAAGTCTGTACCCCTGCCACTATGGAGGCAGGGACAAGAGGATCGGGAGTCAAAGGTTGTCCTTGGATAGATAGCAAGTTTGAGAAAAGTCTAGGAAAGATACAAGACTGTCTCAAAACACACACAGGTACAACAGGTTCACAAATTCTCTTTCTCTCTCTCTCTCTCTCTCTCTCTCTCTCTCTCTCTCTCACACACACACACACACACACACACACACACCTCAACACAATGCAAATTCCACATAAATGGCTGCTAGATTATATTGTTTATGAAGGAATAACAAGAAAAAATTCATAAGAGGCAAATCCCTTTCTAAAGCTTTATTTTATTTTTATCCACGGGGGTAGCACACTCTTGCATGTGAATGTAGGTGTCCCTGGAAGCCAGAGAAGGCTATCAGTTCTTCTGGAGCTAGAATTACAGACAGTTGTAAGCCAACTGATGCCATACTAAGAACCAAACTCTAGTTCTTTTTTGAGGGCAGCAAGCCATCTCTCTAGCCCCAAGACCCAATTCTTAAAAAGTATTTTCTATGCAAAGTTGGCTGAATGCAGATTTGGGATCAATGAATACATAGGGCCAACCATCTCTTTTAAAACGCAATTTTAAATAAGAGAAATGTTTTATAAACACGGTTGGCTTTTGCAGGGCCACTTAGGAAAGCAAAACTGTGAGCATTCTAAAATCAAAAAAAGCAAAGGATGTTAATTGTGGTACATTCACTTGATATTCTGACAGCAGTAAAATGATATTTGCCAGGAATTTATGACAGTGTAGAGAAAAGTGTCATCATACTGTCAAATAGGAAAGCGTGAAGTAAAATTAGAAATGTCAGGTTATCACTAGCAAGTACAACAATTAAAAAAAAAGTCTCCACATCATCACAACTGAAAGATACAGCAAGATGTTTCAACGTAATTGCTAACAATATAACATGGGTCATTTTTCCTGTCTCATGTTCCAAAAATATTCAGATTTTCTATGTCATAAACTGGATATAGATGTAGCAAAAAAAAAGAAAGAAAACATCAATGTTTAATTTTTTTAGTACTTCAAAATGATCACAAATAAAAATTAACCAAAAATATAGGGAAGGCCATGTGCTTGTATTAATCTAGAAACAACCCCTCATGCAGTTGATCAAATGTAATTTTGCCCCCAAATTAAACTAGCTCAAATATTAAACTACAAACTAAAATGCATTTGTTTCCAAACCCAGTAACCCGGAGCAGGAAAAAAAAAATGTAGATGGATCGATATACAGGTGGCCAGGAAAAAGTTGCACAGTTGTATAAATTACAGACAGGAAATGCTTGTTATGAAAAACTCCATCATTTTCCCCCAAACTTGGATCATTTTCTTCTAAAAACACAGGGTCTCAGCCAAAGAGCTCAAACCATTTTGGATTTGACTGGAACTGGCTAAGGACAGGCTCCAGCTACCTTGTGCAGTTGATCTAACTGCTCGCTCTCACTCAGGGCAAGGGCAACTCCAGACACAGTCAAGACAAAAGACATCCTTCCCGCCTTTGTCCGACAGTGTTTGCTCAGCCCTGCCCTTTGCAGGTGGCTGCAGAACCCCCTTGTTCCCCAGTCCTTCTCCTTTCATGAGGACTCAAGCTAGATCTTACAATAGACCTCAAAGAGGGCAGCAGCTGCGTGCATCCGATAGAAAATGGAAAAGGGCATGGCCAGGTTGACCACAATTATCCAGGGTTCAAAGCCAAAGACAATTTCCTCCAATCCGTTGTCATACTCGGGACGGCAGCCAAAGGCAGGGGGGATCCAAAGCTGAAAGAGAAGAGGCAGCCTTCGTCTGTGCTTCATCACAAATCATTCAACCTTGTGCTATGGCTTCACTGGCAATGTCTCCAAGGTGGGTGTGTTCAAGGCCTGGTCCCTGGCTGACAGGCTACGGTAAGTTAACTAGATCATGAGGGAACTAACTTCATCAGTGGGCTAACCCAGGATAAAATCACAGCTGAATGGACTATTACAAGGTGAGAAACAGAAGAAGTATGTAGGCCCCTGGGGATCACTCTGACTGATATATCACATCCCCAAACTTGTATCTCTGTTACTTTGCTGCTGGGAAGTGAGCTGCTCTCCTCTGTACCTCCACCATGATATTCTGTCACAGACCTGTAAGCAACAGAACCAGCCAAACATGGACTGAAACCTTCAAAACTGTAAGGCCAAACCACCCTTTCCTCTCTGAAACTCTTGTCTCAGTGTGGAAAGGCTGACTCTGTGGTCAGAAGCTTTCAAAACACCTGGGTTGCCACTCAAATTCTAGGCACCATGAATGCTGACCCAGTGTGAGTCACAATGGCTGGAGAGATTTACAGCGTTCCTCGTCTCCATGGGACCCAACAAATCCATGAGCCTTCACTGAACTCTCTCCATCGTCATTTTGCACTCAGACCCAAATAAACCCATCCATTTCTCTCCATTCCAACAGCCAAGGCACTGAACTCTCCCTAGGGGGCGCTGATGAGAGTGACTAGCTTAAGGAAGTTAACAAAACTTAAAATGAAAAAACGATGCTCTTGCCACTCAAAGAACCTACACACTGTCCTCATCTCCTCCTCAGCTTCTTCCCCTCTTCCTTCCTACTGATACCTGGGCCCCCTCTATGGTCCCGGGTCCTTTCTCTTACTGAGTGCACGGTTCTGTCTCGCTGCCTCCTGGGCTAAAGGAGGCAGCCTCTAGCTTAGCTGCCCTATGCACAGCTGGCGTCACAAAGGGCAGGGGGAGGTTTCAGGCCAGCAGCCAATAGGAATTCCTATTTTCCAACCCAGCAACCCACAAGGGGGCTGAAGCCAAATCCCCAAAGGGAAGTCTTGGAGCCAACACCTACACCTACAATCAGGCTAGGATCGATAGTGAGCAGCCTGAGCTCCTCGACTCACTACCTGGAGAAGCGACAAGATAAATACCTGTGGTTCCAGGTTGCTTTATTTGGGGTTACTTCTTACACGGCAGGAAGTGACTAATACATCCTGCCTTCGTTTCCATCTCCACGCAGAACCTCTCTGGTGTATACCCTGTCCCACTTTTTTCTCTGGCTTCTTGGACGTTCAAAGGATTTCAACGGTCCATTCAGACCTTTTCTGACCAACAGCCCTCTCTTCTGACTCTTCGTTCACTCAGACTTTTTATGAGTCCACCTTCTCTTCTTCCTGCATATGCCCTCTGGGGCTGTCTCCTAGGCCTTGGTCCTAAATACCAGCTAGAGGCCTTTGACTTCCACCTAACCTCCACCCCTCTGAAGTCCCGCACATATTTCCCACTGGCGACTCAAGTGTTTAGAGCACACCTCAATTCATCTTGCCTTTCCCATTTCCCCTCTTACCAGCATTGCCTTCCACCCAGATGCTCTCCTCGAGCTCCTAGCATCATCTGTGTCTTCCCTCAGCCTCTCCCACATCACTCCACCACCCAATCCACAGGGAGATGCCCCCAGTCCTGTGAGTCTCCACCTGCACCCAGCCAGGCCATTCCCCTGCTGGCCTTCCTTTTTCCACTCTATCCTAGTGGTCCATTTTCACTCATTTGCCAGGACGGGAGGATTTCTTATTTGTATCACAGTCCCTCTGCCTTGCTGGGGAAAGATGAGGACAATATTGGTTGGTTTAAAATACTGAGGACTAGGGAGACTTATCAACCAGAGAGTGCCCACTGGGCTAGCATGAGAACCACATAGAAAGCCTGGCTGGGAGGCATGTGGTACAGACAGAGGATCCCTGGGGCTCATGGGCCAGCTAGTCTAACCATCTGATTAGCACAGGATTCAATGAGAGATGCTGGCTCACAAAAATAGGGTAGTGAAGAGATTGAAGAAGACATCTCAACATCAACTTCTGGTGTTCACACACTTGTACACACACACACACACACACACACACACAGAGAGAGAGAGAGAGAGAGAGAGAGAGAGAGAGAGAGAGAGAGAATAATAACAGTTTGATAAAGATTACCGAGATATTGCAAAGGAACAGAAAGGCCGTGATGTTTCTGAGCAGCTTCCTCTTCATGCCGCCCTGAAGGAAGTCCAGACATCGAGTTGTCCCGGTTACTCCTTCCCAGGCAGCCTCCTGGTCCTCTTTCCCACACCTCTGCTGCAGACACAGATTCCCGTTGACAGCAGGTGACCCATCCCCGGCCATCTCCTGGCTCCCGAGAGTGGATGCAGCCAGTGCAGCAGCCTCGCCACTGCAGACGGTGACCACACGCAGAGTGCGCACATCCTCAGGGACCCCCTCCTGCTCGAGGTGTACGGACTCGATGATGAAAATGTTCTGGATGTATTTCTCCACGATCACCAGGACAGAGTAGGGCAGGTTGTACCAGGTGTACGGTGGGCGGGTCTCAGCACAGGCGATGGCCAGAATGGAGCCCCAGGAGAGGAGCCAGGAGCCCGAGGCAGTGGCCACCAAGAGATCGACATCCAGCTTGCGGGCCGGGTTCTTTGACTCATCCAGAGACTTCTCATCCACCCTGTAAATCCAGCTTCCGACTAGCCCCGCAGCCCCCATAAGCAGCAGCACCGTGATAGCGTACAGATAGAACATGATGAGCGCTGACTCGCTCTTGGACTTGGAGCGTCCAATGTGGATCATGTACACCACAACCACCGCGATGGTGGCAGCCAGCACTGTCAGACCCAGCACCGAGCCCACCAGGACCCCGTCGAATCTGCACTGCATCTTCTGGTGCCGGGAGCTGTCAACCCTGCGCCCAATGTTCTTCCACAACACGTAGAGCATGGTAGAGGCCAGGATCTGGTACTCGATGTTGAAAGGGTACAGATAGTAAATCCCATGAGAGAGGGCAGAGCAGAGGGCAGGCGGTGTGCAGTTACACTGTGGTGTGTGGTCGTCCAAAACTAGGGCAGTGGGCAGAGCACAGAAGCGAGCCATCAGCACAGGCAACAAGGAGACTAACAAGCCCGTCGGTCTGGACCTCTCACCTAGCCCCAAGGCGCACAGGACCCATATTTAACATCGTGTTTAATGCCATGGCTTCATAGACAAAGAAGCTAAGACTCAACTCCCAAATAGCATCAGCCACGCCCTATCCATACGTTAGCATATAATGACACTTTTATAAAGATTATCGTAGAGATGTACTGGTCACCACATAAACGTGGTCCAGAGCTACCATTGAACTTCAAAAGCAGGCTGCTACAGAGGGTTGAGACTATGATGTCATCTGTATAAGAGTTGGGGGGGGGTCAGTGATAGGCTGATCCATAAGAAGGGAAAGATCCCCGAGTATAAGAACCAGAAGGGTAGCAGCAGTTCTTTCTGATGGAAAGAGGCAGAGGTTTGAGTTTTCTTCTAGATCTTACTTCCCTGTGCAAATTTTTCTTTGTGAATGTAGTGTGTGTGTGTGTGTGTGTGTGTGTGTGTGTGTGTAGATTGTGGTTTTCAGGACTCTGTGGGAAATATCCCTTCTGATTGGAAAAAGCTCTCACCAAAATGCCACTAGCATGGGGGAACTTTCGATCTCTCGCTGTCTGTGCAACCTCAGACATATCACTTTTCAGCGGCTCAGTGGCTCTACCCATTAATAGTTAATACCGCCCACATCAGAGTAAGGCCACAGCAGAATTAACGAGCCTTGTAAAATGCTTAGAGTCCTGCCGGGTAGTCAACAAGTGCCTAATAAAAGCCAGGAAGTGCCTAATAAAAGTTTGCTTCTATTATGAAACTGTCACTGCTCTGGCAGCATTACCAATGAAGCCAAAGACAGAGTGCCATCCCCAAAAGAGGGCTATAGAAGTCACTGCGTGTAGCCTGACATAGCCATGTGTCTGTCCAGCCCCACTTACAGAAGGCTACGGCCAGAGAATCTTTGGAAGCGTGGGGTTTTCAAGTCTTCTTACAAAGAGGAAAGGCAGGCCCAGAGAGGTTGAATAATCCCCAAAGACCACACAGCTAGCACTGACGAGAACAAGAGACAAACTGAAGTCCTCCACTTCCCAGTGCACTGTGCTCCACTCTGCCATTTTACTCCAGGTGTTCTCTGGCAGATGTGACAGTGTCATGCGAGCTCAAGACCTCCAGGGGAAGATGTGAGGATTAAGCCCAGCCCCAGGCTGTCTTCCCAGCAGAGTAAAAGAAGATAAAGATGAGCAAGCCTAAATAGTGAGCCAGATGCACTCAGCTAAAAACTTTCACACGCACACAGGCCGAGTGAGAACACCCTGGAGCTCTCAGACCAACCTCTCAGAAGAAGGATTTGCTGAAAGAGGCCTAATTAAAATGCGAACAGAGAAAACCGCCAATCTTCCACAGTGGAAAATAGGCACAGAGGTCTCCAGCCAATGGGCTGTGAGAGACAGACACCTAAATGATAACTCTGAGCTGCCACATGCCCAAGCTAGGTGAAGCCTATAATTACTCCCTTGGAGAGGCAGAATGGAGGCCTGTGGGGCTAGAGAAACAGTCCCTGGCAGAGACTATCCACTCAGGTGGCTCCCCGGGGGACCTGGAGCTGACTGGGGAAGGCTTCCTCACCTATGGTGATGTTGCCGAAACCCAGAGTGATCAGCCGTTCCTTGTGCTCGTTCAGCTGGTGCTTTGACTCGTTCAGGACGCTGTTGGCCCACAGCAGCAGGTTCGTGAACACTGAATGGATCACTCCGAACCTGAAGAGCACAAACACCAGACACATTTTCTTGAGTAGCCCTGGGAAAGTGCAAAGCCGGAGGGAAAGATGGAGACATCCCATGTGCATGCACACTCATGCAAACACACAATCCTCTTCCTTCAGCCATTGGTCCAAGTGGCTGAGAGGCTAGCATCTTGGCATTCTGCCTTCACCTTGAACTTACCTGTCTTCAACTCATTATCTGTGGGACATTAAAGACACTGCATCTTGGGAGCAGGGATACAGGGAGGAATTTTAATAAAGGCAAGCAGTTATGCCCAGAGCCCCCTCCTTCTCTGAAGAGGACACAACGAGAGAACAATGGAGACGTGAAGGTCGGTGGACTGTGGACAGCAGGAACAGCCTCACTGTTGGCTGACCAACCCAGACATGGCCAACCATTCCCTCTGCTTTCCCACCTGTCCTCAAAGACACTAAAACAATCCACACACACTGGCTCATGGCTTCTTTTGGAGTTAGCCTTAGCCATTCTTTCTAGGGGCATATAACATATAATGTTTGGTCAATTACTGAAAAGCTTTTGCTTATGTGATGATGTAAGAACAGTGGTATATGATATAAGATAGTAAAAAGCCTGCTTATGGACCGCTGTTCCTTTCAACATTGTCACCTTTAATAGTCATGAGCAAGGACATGAAGGCTGAGACTGTGTCCATCATCTTGTGGTCATAAGCCAATCAGCATGGGATGAAGCTCCAACACACAGAGAATGGTAACACAGAAGAGTGTCCAGGTGACACACTGAGCTTCTGGAGTCCCAGCTAGGCTCAGGAACTCCCCCACTGTCACACCTAGAGTAAGTGGGCGCATTGGAATTATGAGAAGAATCTTAGTCCATTGTCTTGCTTGTCATCGCCTCTAAACCACAGCACCTCATCAGGGGAAGGGGACATGGGAGGTGGACACTGGACTCTAGGGAACAGAAGAGAAGGGAAGAACACGTGGTTTCCATGTGATTCCTGCCCTCTGTGAATTCCCTGCATCCCATTGTGGCTGCAGGTTGAAGTTGTATCCATCTAGGTAGTTTCTGGGCAGTCTATAGGCACAGCAGCCTAGCTATCTAGGGGAGGCATCCTAGGTAGACTGGGAAGGAGGGCCTCAAGGCTGCTATGGCTACCCCCTGTCCCACCCAGGGACAGCCCTGTGTGATTGTCTATCCAGATTAGAGATCAATTTGTGCATGATTCACTTATGGGGAAGTGTGAGTATCCATGGCCCAGCCCCTCCCTACCTCCCAGACCCTGAGTGTCCACTCCAGCTGAACCCAGGCCTCAAGAACCAGAGCAGACAGTGACTTTCTATGCAATATGGCCACCCTTGACATCTACTCAACAGCTAGAACTAAAAGCAGAAAAACTAGACAACATGGATGTCTGTCTTTCAGCCTGGTCCAGTGCCTGCCTTGTTACCACAGCTCACAGCCCACTTACTCTATATAGCCTAGACAATGCCATTACCTCTAGCAGGTGGCTTTCCTTTCATTACAGTGCACACAGCTGCTCTTCTGTCTCCCCTCTCCCTGTTCTATGCAGCACTGCCCAATCCTGAGCCCGCTGAAGCCACAGAAGCAGTATGAAGTCACCAAAGGTCATACTGTTTGGCCATGCATCACCTTGAGAACTATAGCCTTCTAAGGCCACTTTGAAAAAAATCAGTCATTCAAACTAAGGGCAAGTGTCATGTCCCATGCCTGAGCCCTTCCCCATGCTTTGTGCCTGTGACAGAATGCATCCCAGGAGTCATTTCTGGTATCTGTCTGTGCTTCTTAAGATATATGAAGAACCACAGTCCCTCTCAACTGCATGTCTGGGGAAAGAAATGGATGGAAGCCTGAAAGGAGAATTTCCCCACCTGCAGGAAACCTTCTGGAAGCTTCTGAAAAAGGAGCTGACAGGATGGAGGCATTCATCCAGCTCCTGCAGGAGGCTAACAGGGTCAGAAGCTCACAGATCCAGACAGAAGTGCTAGCACAGTAACTGGGAGCTGTAGAGACTGTCAGCAGGGAAAGGCAGCCCTTCCTAGAGGAGCACCCTGGATTCAACTCTAGACTCATTCAGGACACATGCTTGGGGTTACCTCATCTGCCACCCTTTCTAAAGAGGTTGGCATCTAAAATCTAAGGGTGGTAGAAATTCAAAATGTTTACCATCTTGCTTAACACAGTAGCAGACAGGAAAGCACACCTTCACAATGAAATGGGTATAGACTAGATATGATAATGGCCACGGAAGCCTTTGGTTAGGCTGATCTCAATATCAGTATCCCTGTGTAGCCAAGAATGACCCTTGACCTCCTGACTCTCCCGTCTCAGACTTCTGAGTCTGGGGTTACAGACAAGTGCCATCATGCCTAGTTTATTCAGTGCTAGTGATTGAGGCCAGGACCACAAATGCTAGAAAAACATTCTACCAACTTGGCTGGCCCCAAGAGTTATCAGTGATGGCTTCTGGAGGTCCTGGATCTCAGTGACTACCCCTGCCCTTGAGGGAACCAGGTGAGCACATTTCACCCACTAACCACCTTACCCAAGTGGTGGGCTTTCCTGACACCAAGGTTAAAGATCACTGCCAAAGCCACTGCATGACCTCCATGGTGCCTCTCACGCAGCCAAGGACACCTCGGTATCATCACCACCCACCCCACAGCACCAGACCACTAACCCTGTGCAAACTGAGGAAACAAAAGATGTACTTGTTAATAGACTCAATCTCTTTGCTTGCAGCCCATGGAAGCTGTTCTATCCAGTGGTCACATGTCAACCAATCTGCTCAAGGCCAGTGGTCATCGCAAATGCTGGAAGGGAGGAGTTGATTCGCCCATGGAAAGGGCACACAATACTGGATCTTTTCCATAGAGCAAGTGCTGAGTCCTTGATCCATCCATGTTTAGCCTGCCCTTAGAGAGTTAACCCCTCCTTCTGGACATTCTTTCCTTGGCCACATAATAACCAGTAAGAAGTGGTGGTAGGCTCAGCACTCGATGGACACAGGTTATGCATGTTGTATCAGTTATCCTCAGAGGTAGACCACCTCCCTGTTCCCCAACTCATAGCTGAGTAAACCGAGGGCCATAAAAGGGAAGTGGGTGGTGACAGCAGAATTCCCGCCCACAAATGGGTGGTGACAGCAGAGTTCCCACCCACAAGTGGGTGGTGACAGCAGAGTTCTCACCCACTTTCTTGTCTTCCAGGGATGGCTTGGAAGGAACTGAAGTACTAGAAGGGCTTTCTTTGCTTTGGGGACAGAGCAGAAATCTGCACTCAGGGTTTATAATAGCCCAGGCAGATGCCAGTCTTGAGTCTGGTTTGTTCTAACATCTAACCTAAACAAACACCAACCAACACATAAAGCAACTGATCACAGTTTTTACCTTTCCAGTGTTTTGAAAGACATGATAATATCCTTAGCGTGGCCCCAGAGAAAATAGACCTAGATGGAAATAAAGGAAAATACATTAGTGGCGAAAACGCTGTTCTGTTGCACACGTGAGAAGTTATAAAACTGGGGGGAAACCAATGGCTTTCCTTGTCCCAGCAGAGCTGATCTACAGTGGGAATAGTGATCCAGTGAGAAGCAAGGTGGGGCCTCCCAAGTCAGGAGGAAGGAGTGCTGCAACTAATTAAGAACGTCTGCTGTGGATGGAGATCTGCATTTGACTGAGGGTGTCTCCTGAAAAGGTAGAGAGAAATGACTGGTGATAACTGCTGTGGACAGAGCTGTGCTGCAATTGATTGAGGATGTCTGCTCTGGGATAGGCATATGAACACCAACCTGTCTGTTATGAAACTCACTAGCTTGTTTTCTTAGTCATATTTGTCAGGTTTTATCCAATAATTTTCCACTGAACAGCTACTTTGCACCAATGTCCAGAAACCAAAGGCTAAGTTCTTTCAGTGAAGAGCTGAGTTGGTTTGGGTTGTGGTCCTTTTGACTTCTGGTAGGCTATCTGGCCCCTGGCCATGCCATCACTAACAATGCAGGAGACGCACAGATGTGGACACAGACTACTTCCCTGTGGATCTGAATGCTGAGACCAGGAGTGTTTCAGGTTCCAGGGTTCACATGGGTGGCCCTGGTTAAACAAAGCAATGACCAAACCAAAATAAAATAAAAAGTCATGAGACGAGGAGAGGACTTAGTGGAGGAGGGGAGCGTTAGTATGAGTGTGAGAGGATCAGGTAAGGTGGAAACGAGTGTGACCAGAGTGTGTTATACACGTGCATAAAGTTGTCAGAGTATAAATATGATCTTTTGATATCAGAAAATTTGGCTCAAGGAAGGTTAAAAACAGAAGAGGAATATATCATACAGCAGACGGCTCAAGTAGTACTTTACTGCTCAAGCACGAGGCCCTGAGCTCAACCCCCAGGACCCACATAAGAGCTGACTCCCCATGGCCCACTGAGCAGATAACCTAGCTGAACTACAAAGCCCTAGGCCAGTAAGAAATCTACCTCAAAATACAAGATACAAGATACTTGGCACAACTCAGGGTCCCTTAGGCAGTGGAACCTGCACTGTGGAATCGCCTCCATCAGACTGGGCTATGGTCATGTTTGTGAAGCATTTTCATACTTGCTAACTGATGTAGGAGGCCCCAGCCCACTGTGGGCGGTGCCATCCCTAAGCAGGTGTGCCTGAGCCATAGAATAATGCTAGCTGCGGGGGAAAGGGGGTGGGTAAGAGCACTGGCAGCTCTTCCACAGGAACAAGATCTAATTCTCAACCCCCAGATGGCAGCCCACAACTGCCTGTAACTCTAGTTCCAGAGGTCTAATACCCTCTTCTGGCTTCCATGAGCACAGACAGTCATGCAGACAAAACACTCATACACATAAAATAAAATAAGTTGTAAAATAGGCAAGCTAGAGAGACTAAGCTAGTAAGAAGTGTCTCTCTGTGATTTCTGCCCCCAGATTCCTTCCTTGAGTTCCTGCCCTGCCCTCCTTCGATGGTGGACTATAACCTGTAACCTGTAAACCAAATAAGATCTGCCACCAAGTTGCTTTTGGTCAGTATGTTTTTGAATCAACAAAGAAGTGGAATAGGACAGATGCCTTCTAAAGGCATGCCTAACCACGCATACACACACATGCACATACACATGCATGAATACACACACACACACACACACACACACACACTGGCACACTGGCATGTCCATACTCATATCAGCAGTGTTCCCAACACCCAAGGAGAGGAACCACCCACATGCCACTGACAGATGGACAGACGGACAAAATGTAGTGTGCACACATAGTGGTATTTGATTTGGCTTTCAAAAGAAAAATAGAAAAATGCCTATTTCATGCTACACCAGGAGCCAACCTGGAGACATCACATGAAGCAAGAAAACCAACCAACCACCAGGGATCAGATGAGGTAAGACTGCATTGTATGGCTGTCTATCTGTGTTGCTGCTGTTGCTGCTATGTCTGTCTCACAGATAGTAGAGCGGTGGTTGTGGATGGAAGACTGTTCAAGGAGGAGAAACTTTCCATTAGAAGATGAGCAGGCTCTGGAGCTGGATGGTAAGGATGGTTATACAGTAAAGTGAGCGTGCTCAACGCTACAGAACGATCCACTCAAACCAGTCAGGACTCTAAGTTCTGTGCTCTGTGCTCTGACCACAATTTAAACATGAGTAGTTTTTATTATAAAAATAATATCTGGTTTTCATTCTTTAGTCATCTTGAAGCAAAGCACACAGTAAGTGTATGTCCAATGGCCACAGAACCCTCAGTTGCTGGACTTATCAAATGCTTGTTTGGAAAATAGAGATCTCCACCCAACCATGTGAATATTTTGAAAACATACTTCTGTTCTGTCTAGGCCCTTCCTCTGCCTATAGCTCTCGGTGGCTCCCAACTTCCCTGCAGATGGGACCCAGCCTCCTAGGAGAAGTCCTCAGCTTTCACTAATACTTCCTACACACTTGTCCTACGCAAAGCCCAGTTCCTGCTCAACACCTTCCGACATCACAGCAAGGCCGTGCAGAGGTTCCAAGGCTGTCCTCTTTTCACAGATAACTTCTGTGAGGCCCAGAGAGAGTAAGGAACTCACCTAAGGTCATACTAATGACCTCAGTCAGCACTGGCCAATCGGGCCAGAGGCCGAGCTTAGAAGCCTTAGCAAAACCCATGACTTCAGACTATGCCACTGCCTACCTCAGCTTCCCTAGCCCACACCTCCTCTTTCACCTCACGTGTGGAAAGACCACTGCCTCACTACATCCTGCTCCTGTGACATGACCCACCACACTGCTCCAGCTTAGGACAGTGCCCTGCAGACATAGCATCTCACCTCACACTAGCCAGATACCCTCCTCTCTGCTCTGCCACCCAGATCAGGGCACCGAAGCCATACAGAGTCAGGTCACAGGATTTCTGCAGCGGAGGAAGGACTATGTCTGAGCAGACAGAGGCCCATATTTGATTAAAGATGCCCGCTGTGGCTGTAAGGCTACACATGACTGAAGATATTATTTCAGTATTATTGAAAGGCCAGGGTTCTATTGAAACTCTTTAAGGAAAAGTATTTCCTCCTAGCCAAGGGAACAAGATCTCTAGCCTGGGTGGAGACCTAACATTCTAGTCACTACGCACGAACCCAGCTGTGTCCATCAATAATCTCCTGGCCAACGAACCACCCTTCAGGAAGGTGGGTCTGCTTTATACCATGCTAAACATATGAGAGGAATAATTATTCCTGTAATGAGATGATGTACTTTTCCTTCCCAGAATCCCCGCCCTCTGTGTGGTCACTAGAACTGCAACCAATAGGGCTAGGTTAAGTTTGTCCATTTTTCTAAATTACTTGGAAAAGTATAATCTCTCTCTCTCTCTCTCACTCTCTCTCTCTCTCTCTCACACACACACACACACACACACACACATTTTCCTTCCTTTGGATACTTTCTTGGGATTCTTTACTTTTTCTCTGAGGCCTGCTTCCTCATGCAGCTGCTTGTCATTGACTGTCATTTGTCTCTAAAGGCATGGCTTTCTCTCTTCCTCTCCATCTCCCTTTTCCTGGCAGCTGCCGAGACCCACAGCTTGCTGGCTCTGATGTGTTTCTTTTAAACTCTAATAAAACTGTCTACAAGCTTCCTTCTCAGTACTTTCTTAATTTCTTTTATTAATGAGAGTAAGAACCCTGAGAGCGGATCCTGATTTAGCTAGAAATATGTATCATATTCCTGACGGGGTTCTCCAAAATTTCCAGCAACAACATCTGGGTAGAGAGGATGTCTACTGCAGGTGGGGAACAGTTACTTCCTCATAAAACCACAAGGCTTAGTTAGCATCTGTGGCAACGCAGACAAACCTGAAGGACATTATGCTAAGTGGAATATGCCAGGAACAGGAAGACAGACAGCACATGAGCCCACCATATACGGAATCTGAAAAATGAAGACTTGAATACACAGTAGAACAGAGACTGAGTCGGGGGAGGAGTGGGCCGATGCAGGCAAAGAGCCCAAACTGGCAAGCATGGAGGCTGGTTGTCTAGAGTGCTGATGGCCAAGATAAGGGTTACAGCTGGGATAGTGTGTTGTCTATGGCAGGCTTGCTGTCATGGGCTTATAGGTGTTCTCGCCACTAATAACACCAAGCAGGGAAACTGTGGCAGCAGCTATGGCAATTTTCTTGACTACAGTCACCAACCAACCATGTGCTCATAGTGAAAACATCATTCTGTATAACTTAAATATGCAAAATAGAGAGAGAGTAAAAGATTGATGATCTAGCACCTGTTCTTATGTTAAAATGTTTGTTTTTGATTAGCACGCTAGCTGTCTATAGCTATGCTGTGCGGTACACTTCCCACTTGTACAGTGGGAAAGCACATAAGGTCTCTCCCTCTGCCTTTCTCTCTGTGTCTCTCACTGTCTCTCTGTGTATGTGTCTTCCTGTCTCTCTGTGACTCTGTTTCTCTCACTGTCTGTCTGTCAGTCTGTCTGTCTGTCTCCGAGCATGTTCTGTCTCTCTGTGTCTGTCTCTGTCTTTCTCTATCTCTCTCTTTATCTCTCTTTGTCTTCCTGTGTCTCTATCTCCCTGTCTCTGTGTCTCTATCTCTCTGTATGTCTGTCTCTATGTATCTCTCTCTCTGTCTGTGTCTCTGTCTCTATCTGTGTGTCTTTCTGTCTCTCTATCTCCCTCTCTGTGTCTGTGTGTCTCTCTTTCTCTCTGTGTGTCTCTCTTTCTCTGTCTCTCTTTATCTCTCTTTGTCTCCCTGTTTCCCTCTGTCTGTCTCTCTCTGTCTCTGTCTCTCTATCTCTGTTTCTCTCTGTCTCTCTGTCTCTGTCTGTCTGTCTGTCTGTCTCTCTCTCTCTCTCTCTGTGTGTGTGTGTGTGTGTGTGTGTGTGTTGGTCAAGGGAAAACTTTGTGAAAATGATTCCCTCCCTCTACCTTTTCGTGGGGCTATGATTCAGGTCTCCAGGAACACACATAAGTACCTTTAACGGCTGAGCCACTTTGCTGGCCCATATCTCTATGTCAAGAACATTCCAATTCTATAGTTACTTGGAAATATTCAGTTAATTTCTGCCATCCGTAGTTGCCCCCTATCCGGAGCTCTGGAATATTAGAAGTTATTGCTCCCGCACAGCTACCCTCTGTACATAGCAGCTCTCCTCTCACAGCCCTTCCCACACCTACAGCCTTCCCAGGCCCTGCAGTCACTCGTGTTCCCTGCACTTCCACGTGGTCAGCCTTTTCCTATCCATGTGTAAGTGAAAACATAGTGTTTGTCTTTCTATGCCTGACTGTGGGATGTAGCACAGTTGGTAGAGTCCCAACCTAACACGCAAGAGGCTTTGTGTCCAATCTCCAGCACTACATAAAACAAAGTATTGACCCACAGGCCTCAAATCCCAGAACTTCTGAGGTGGAAGCAGAGGGATCAGAAGCTCAGTGACTTCCTGGCCAGTCATTCCTGGCCTGGACTGGTTTCATTCAAGATAACCATGCTCCCTTTCCAGTGTGTCACTGCCTGTGGTAGAGTTTCACTAATGCTGTGGTTGACTACTATTCCATTGCGGGTACAGAGCATCTTTCTTTTTTTTTTTTTAAACGTTTCTTTTTTTTTAAGATTGTCTTATTTATTTATTATATGTAAGTACACTGTAGCCGTCTTCAAACACCCATATGAGAGCATCAGATCTCATTGCAGATGGTTGTGAGCCACCATGTGGTTGCTGGGATTTGAACTCACGACCTCTAGGAGAGCAGTCAGTGCTCTTAACCACTGAGCCATCTCACCAGCCCCAGAGCATCTTTCTTTATCCATTCATCTATCAATGGACACTGTATTTCTTACTTAGCATCAACTGGACCACAATTCCTGACAAAAAAAAAAAAAAACAGCTTAAAGGAGGAGGGCTTGTGCTGGCTCAGTTTCATAAGGTCTTCGTCCTGCATGGCAGATTTCATGGTGGCGGGAGTGTGTGACAGAAGCATATTGCATTTTGTCAGACCAGGAAGCAGAGAAAGAGACTAGAACCAGGCCAGACCCAGTGGCTGTGCTTGTAGCCATCAAAATTCTAGCCCAGTGACCTACTTCTACCTGCCAAGTCCTATCTTCTAATGGATTCTATGGACTCCAAAAATAGCACCACCAGCTGGGGGACATAAACTCAATACATGAAAACACTTTGTGTATCCTAAGTGCTATACAGACTCTGACCATGCCTTTCCTTGTCGGGTAACTCACAGCCACCAGAGAGCCCCCACTAAGATCAGATGCTGTACCAGAGTCTAAGAGTCTCAGCAGTCAGGAGATATGTTTTCTTCCTGTGAACTACATATTTAAAGGTCACCTATCAAATCCTTATATCTTAGAGCAATCGAGTTTGTTGTCCATCCTAAGAACAAGAAACTCATGCTATTCTAAAAAGTTCTAACCCGCAAGAGGTGAAACAAAAGAGTCCCAGTGTTCCAGAGAAGCGACAGGACCAGCTCATTATTCCTGATGGGAGCCACAGAAACACACTAAATTTGACTCCTGCCAGCTAGATGTGTTGATGTGGGCTTTTACACACGCCCAGGAGCAGGGGCAGCATGACTAAGCACCAATGGGTTACCTGCAACAGTGTATGCACTGCATGGGTGACCGGGAAAACTCCCTCCGTGGCTGACAAGCACTCTGAGAATCCAATGAAGTATGCGACTTTCAAGGATCCCAGGATGATGGTGATGAATGCAAACAACGTGATGCTTCCTAGACAGGAGAGAGAGACACATGTGTGAGCATGCATGGGGCCATCCCAAACAAATTATGTCACCTCTAGAGCATGTGGGTGAGAGGTAGGTACCAAGATCATACAGTGAGAAACTCAACATCCACAGGAGAAAGAATGAACTGGGACTTCCTTTATACTGTATGAAAACATAAACTCAAAACTATAAAAACACTCAAATGTCAATGTGAACAAAGGCAAAACTATTAGGAAAAAAATAAGAGAGTGCTTCATGAAATTGAATCAGGCAATGAGTTATATCAAAATGAAAAAGCGTGTGAACCACAGAACACTCTCAGCCAAGAAAGAGGGCTCCAAAACTGGGAGAGAATATTTGAAAAATACCTTTTGTGGTGATTATGAAAATGACCCCCATAGGCTCATAGAGAATGGCACTGTTGGGAGGTGTGGCCTTGTTGGAGTGGGTGTGGCCTTGCTGGAGTGGGTGTGGCCTTGTTGGAGGAAGTATGTCACTGGAAGTGGGCATTGTGGTTTCAGAAGCCCAGACCTGGACCAGTGTCACTCTCTCTTCCTGCTGCCAGCCAATCCAGGTAGAGACCTCTCAGCTATGTCTCTAGAACTATGGCTGCATGCCACCATGCTTTCTGCCATGATGATAATAAATGAACCCTCTGAATTGTAAGCCAACCAATTAAATGTTTTCCTTTGTAAAAGTTGCCATGATCATGGTGTCTCTTCACAGCAATAAAACCCTAAGACACTTTCTACAGAGTCATTAATATCTAGAGCATACAAAGACATCTGCAGTATTAAATTATCCAAACAAACTTGGACAGACATTTCTCCAAGGATAATATTAAAAACAGCCACTAACTACAAGAAAAGATGCCCCAAACCACTAAAAATTAAGGAGAAGCAAGCCAAGACCAAGAGACATCAAGTCATCCCTGCTAAGATTGGTGCTATTTTTGTTAAAGATTTATTTAATCGTGTGTGTGTGTGTGTGTGTGTGTGTGTGTGTGTGTGTGTGTGTGTTTCTGGGTGTGTGAATGTGCATCATATGTTTCCAGTGTCTTCAAACCAGAAGAGGCCTCATATCCCCTGGAATGGGAGATACAGATAGTTGTGGTATCCTGGGAACCAATCCTGATCCTCTGCCAAAATAGCAAGTCCTCCTAATCCCTGAACCATCTCTCCAGCCCCTAAGATAGATGCTATCAACAAACAACAAGGGCTGGGTAGTTGGCCCAGTTTTGAAGCATTTTCCTGGAATGCATGAAGACTTGACTTCAGATCCCCAGTACCCACATAAAAACTGAGCATGGCTGCACCCCACAGATGGAGAGATGGGAAATTGAGATAGCCAGATCCCTGGAGCTTGCTGGCCAGACAGCCTTGCCTATTTGGTGCCATAATAGGCTAGTGAGAGATCTATCTCAAGCAAAAGGGAATGGTACCTGAGAAGTGACACTGAAGGCACCTGCCATCCTCTGACCACATACATGTATCTACACATGCACAAATTCATACGCACAGGTATAGACACACACGCACACAAATAAAAGTAAACTAGAAAGTTGGTTTCTTGTAACTCAGTAGGAAGAGTGTCTCTATTAGCAATCAGAAAAAGCCTTGCCAGGTAAGGTAAAGTGTTGAGCAGTTGTTTCTTTTAAAGTGATGGTTTTGGTTAAAAAAGAGAAACAAACAAAAACATGCATATAAAGGAATCTGTCCAGAAATTACAAAACATGTTTGGAGGGTGCTGGACAAATGCAAATCTGAGAAAGAAAAGCATCGACGTTGGACTTGTGGGTGGTGTCTGAGCTTCTGGACCCTCCTGGCATCAGTGGCATGACTCACACATCCTCTCTCATGCACAGAGGAAACTGGATCACATGTGCTGGGCACTGAGGCACGAAGGTGGTAGCCAGGCAGGATCGATCAAATTACAAGACCGTCAGAGCAGCCTCTGGTGAAATGCAATGCAACAGCCCTGCTCACTCCTGCAGCTCAGAGCCCTACAGAAATGATGAGAGGTCAAGAGGTTTCATTTTGTTAATCCTGGCGATCCCCCAGGGAAATCAGAGCCTCTCTGTTAGAATGGAGATTCAATCCCAATGCTTTCAGACTGACTGGTTGACGAAAAGGTTCTTTCTGATTTAAGGGGGAAAAAAATCATAGCAAGACAAAGTAAGGTAGCCTGGTTGGGTGACAAGAGCGAAGCCCTGAGCTATGGGACCTTGGGCACCAGGCAGGTGTGTGTGTTCCTATGTGTCATCTCCCCAACCCTAGCCTCAGTTTCCCTGCCTACTGAATGAAGATTGTCTACAGTAGTGATTTATCAACCTGAGCATACATCAAAGCACCCCAGAGAGAGAACTGATGAAGGTCATGGTGCCGAGCACCACACCAGTTTCTGACTTCATAGGTCTGTGGTGGGGCCTCGGTACCTCCAACAAGTGCCCTAGTTGGGTAGATGAGGTTGTTCTGGGGCCCCAGAGTGATGTAATGTTTCTATGATTGATAGGACATTGGTTCTGCCATGAAACCCTTCCTGGCCCTCATATTCAAAGTCCTCCCTTCCTTCCATGTATCCATTCACTCTTCCTCTGATACAGTCTGAGGACTCTCTGACTGGGTTTCCCTGTAGTCTATGTGTGTCCTAAAGTACATGTGCAGGTAGCTCATTCCTCATTGTGATGATGGGAGGGGGGATGGTTAAGAATCTTTAAAAGGCCAGGGGAGGGGATATGACTCCATAGGGCCAGGGATGTGGCTCAGGTGATAGAGTCCCTGCCTAGTGTGCAGAAAGCCCTGGGTTCAATCCCCATATCACATAAGCAGGGTGTGATGTGTGTGTCAGTAATCTTAGCACCCTAAAGATCAAAATGGGAGGATCAGAAATTCCAGGTCATCCCTGACTACACAGCAAGTTCAAGACCAGCCTGGGACACAACAGATCCTTTCTCAAATATAAAACAAATATTTTTTTTTAAAGTGGACTTAGCATGAGGTTCCATCCCTAGCTAGCTAAAAACAAAAAGACAATCTTGAGAGAAGAAGGCTCAGTTTTCTCTAAGAGCATAGCCTCAGGTGCTCATCCTCGAATGGAAGGTCACATATCCAAGAATATTAGGGCAGCATAAATTGGCCTTGATGGGGGGATGCAAAGTTGGGTGGAAAAGGAAGGGTTTTGATATGTGAATACAAAGAAAATACACTGTGTGAAATTCTCACAGAACTAATAAGTTTTTAAAGAGATGAGACTTAATGGAAGGCATTTAGACCGTTGGAGATGGTCTTTAGGAAAGATTACTATAGTTCTCTCAGAGCCCGTTTGTTCTCACGAGAACAGGTTGTTACAGGGAGCCGATCCACATGCTTAGCCTTCTCCACGTGCCACTGGTCCACTTTTTGCTCTTCTACACTGCTGTGACACAGTAACGGGACCTTGGATAGGATCCTAGCCCCAGCTGTTTAAATGTGCCAAACATCAGAATCATGAACCTAATAAATGTGTTTACGTTAGTAAGTAACCAGCCTTGGGTATTTTATTACAGCAACACAAAATACACTAATGCACCTGTTCCAGGATAAAGAAAGAGGTTGATGAAGAAACAAAGATACACAAGAAGGTCAGGCAGTGGCGGCGCATGCCTTTGACCACAGCACTGGGATGAGAGAGTCTTCAAGGTGTGAGAAAGGGGAGGGAAAATGACGGTGACATTGTGGAAAAGCTTGGAAGGTGGACCAGGTGGGAAGGAGAGACGGGCAGATTGACAGATGGACTGATAGACAGAAAGATGGACGAGTTGATAAATGGGAGAGCAGTCAAAGAGAGAGATAGTTTACTAGCTGAGACCAGACGCCCGGAAAGAAGCTGCCTGGGGTATGGGTGGTTTGCTCTGTAAAGGCAACTTATGGAGTAAGGATCTGGACAGCAGGAGCTGTCGCCACAAAACCTGAAACCTGGAGAAGGGCCAGATGGGGAGGAGGAGGAAGAGGAGGAAGAGGAGGAAAAGGAGGAAGAGGAGGAAGGGGAGGAAGAGGAGGAAGAGGAAGAGGAGGAAGGTTTTGAAAGTCTGGTGATTTACAAAGTAAAGAAAAGGAAAGTAGGGGCAACCAGGAGAGGAAAGAGGAGAAGCATTTGAATCTGGACAGTACCGAGAGGCAGAAGGCACAGAGCATGGTGAAGCAGGAAGCAGACTGACTTGCTGAAGCAGGCATTTACTACTTTCCTTCAAACATAAAGAGAGTTGCATGCCCTGGGTTACAAGACAGGAGACACTGATACAGGCATATGTGGGACTGAAAAACAAGAAAATCCCAAATGCTCAAAAAAGGAGGGAAACGTGGGGAGGTCAGAGATGAGCTGAGGTGGAGATTGGATGGTGATCTAATCTGAAATATATTGTATACGTGTGTGAAATGACCAAGGATTAAATTTTAAAAATATAATTTAAAAGCTAAGCATGAAGGCATAACGTAAAATATATAATTATAATCATAATTAAGTGGAAAAACAATAGTTAGATATGAAAATCATAAAGCAGCCAAGAATGACCCAGACTGTCTCATTTACTAGGAAGCAAGTTCAGAAAGATGGAATTAAAACTGAAATGGAGGGATACACTCTCTATATGACTAAGTGGTTAGTGAGAGGTTAGGGGTGGGCGAGGGGAAGCAGGCGACACAGAGTGGGAAGGGAATGTCACTACCAGAACACACAGAATTTAGAATAAAGAATCCTTCATATTACAAACGGTAAGACATAATGAAGGAGAAAAGTGTAAAGTGTATGCAGCTCAGTAATAGAATGTTTGGCCAGGCGGTGGTGGGACACACCTTTAATCCTAGCTCTTGGAAGGCAGAGGCATGTGGATCTCTATGAGCCTGGTCCACATATTGAGTTTCAGGCCAGCTAAGGCTGTATAGTAAGACCCTGTCTCAAACAATTACAATAACAACTTGCTTTTATATGTAACTACTACTAATTAAAAATAGAGTAGAAAATTAATTT